AATGTTTGCAAATCCTCTCTATATACGTGCATTTCCCTCCTGCAATATTTGCAAGCGCTATATATCTATAGTCATATCAATCAAGACATGTCTATATATATTGTTGTGTGTGCAATTCCCCCTATCCTTTCCTTTTTCAAAATATTCCCTTCTCTCTCTCTCTCTCTCTCTCTATTTTTTAAAATAAGTTTCCAAAATAGGCAACTCCAGTCTGGGAGGAGAAGCGGAGTGGAAACAGCTGTCAGAGCCTTGACCTCATTATAAGTTGAGGAAGGCTTTTTCAGCCTAAAAAAGGGCTGAAAACCTGGCTTATATTCGAGTATGTATGGTAATTGTACAGGATCATAATCTCATCTGGTTTGACTGCATGTTGGCATGAGTGGGTTTTAACATTACTGTTAAGTTCATTCCGCATACAGTTGGCCCTGCATTTTTACGGGTTTTGCACTTGCGGTTTTTATTATTTGAGAGTTTGAAACCATTATGCTCCCAAAGTAGGGGCTGATGGGTCAGCATTGACATGGGAGCCCCATTCTCAAAGGGTTAGTGAAGGAGGTGTGCATGCTGTGAGTCTCTGTTCTGACTGGTATATCCATTCCTTTCCTGGACAAAACAGACTTTCGGCACATAGGCATGAGGAAGAGTCAGCAATACGTTGCATCACTTACCTTATAGATTAGGTTCCTCTTTCTCTTTATGTGTCCCATGAATCTCACATAGGAACAGGAACTAGATCAATCAGGTAAGTGATGAGGCTGGTGGGGCTGGTTCCTCTTTAACCTGTTTCCCACCAGTCTCTGTTCAGCCCAGTGTCTTCCCTCCTTTCTTAGGCAAAACAGTGGAGTTGGCCCTGCATAACTTCACTCACCCCATGCATTGAGCTTCTCTTTATGTTCTTGTGTTCCACAAATCTTTGCTCCACCTGGGGAAAGTAACAGAAAAAAGTCATACAGGAAGAGGAGGAACCAGATATGCCAGAGCTGATTCCTCCTTCTTTACAGTTTCTGGTCTTGGTATCCTCCTTCCTTTGCCCAAGTGAAAGAAATACTTATCTGCCACACAAGAAGGGTAAAAGGAGCTGGCATCAGTAGGTAAGTTAAGTGGCATGTGGGACTAGCTCCTCTTCTTCCACTGAAGATTGCAGCAGAGGCACCCTATTACTCCAACAGTTGAGATTTTTCCATTTATGTGATCCAACCCTCAAAAAAGTGGAAAGATGACTGTACATACATGGTGAAAGAGTAGGAAACTCAGTTGGTGCCAGTAGAGAAGTTTCCCCCTTGTTACCTCTTCTATCTTTTGGGCCATGAAATTGTCTGCAAGGCAAGCGAGGAATTTGTTGGACTTTGTGCTCTTGGCCAAGTTTGTTTTCCAGCAAATATTGGGATAGTTGAAATCACCCATGACTACTACATCTCTTCTCTGTGCCTGTTTGGTCAACTGTTGGCAGAAGACTTCATCAAGTTCTTCCTCCTGGCTTGGAGGTCTGTAGTAGACGCCTACAACAAGATCTTTTTGAGTCCCAGTTCCCTTGATTCTTATCCAGATGCTTTCAAGCTGGTTTCCCGGATTGCTGTCTTGCATCTCTTCTGCAGGATTTCGATTTGGGGGGGGGGGGGGGGGGGCGCTGAGTCTGAGTGAAAGAGGGTCTACCCTAGCAAACCTTTTGTATCGTTACCCCAATACCCCCATGCATATGGGATATATTGAGCATGGTGATCAGATCATGATATGAATAAATATAACAGTTTAAATAATGTACCAGTAAGGCCTTCTCGCGGACCACCATGAGAATTTGGGGGGGGGGGCTGAAGCCCCCAAATCCCCCCCCCCCCGGCTACATGCCTGCTGTCTTGTATCTCTTCTGCACCCTAACAGTTTTTGACATATAAGGCTATTCCGCCTCCTCTCCCCTTTGTTCGGTTTCTGTGAAAGAGGTTATAGCCCTCCATGTCTACATTTCAGTGATAGGAGTCATCCCACCAGGTTTCAGTGATGCCTATGACACCATATTTGTGGTGTAGTGCTGAAAGCTGGAGTTCTTCTTGTTTATTTCCCATGCTCTGTGCATTAGTATAAAGACATGTGAGCCCCTGAGATCTTCCCCTGAACTGTTTATTTGGGATTATTGTGCTCTCTTCCATCAATAGTTTGACTGAAAACTTAGTCCCGAAGGAATATCTGTCTCTCAGTTTTACTTATATTAGTTTTTTCTTTACTTCAATATAACGATGGAAGCTACAAACTTAAATACCGATCCTCTTCCCTCTTTTTAAAATGTTCCCCTTTTTTCTAACTTCGCCCCCTTTCCTGCTAGCAACTCTAATATGGATACATTTCTACTGCAGAGGCTACGTATCCCTGGTAATATGATGACCAATTAAATGTAACCAGCTCCTGTCTGCCCTTACCATAATATCAACACTAATAAACATAGACAAAAAAGCCTCCATTATACTTAGCTTTTCAGTTACACTCACCTTTATTTTACCATACATTCAGTACAAGAGTCCAAAAATTCACTTTTTGAAGTAGGTAGGGAGGCCAAACTACACTAAAGGCAACAACTGAGTTTCCCACCATGACCGTTATTTCTCTACCTAGACATTTAAAAAGCAGCTATTTCCCTACTTAGGTATTAAAAAGCAGCTGGAGGGAATAGAGAGGTTGTATTTTTTTAATTCTCCTGAGATGGATTACATTCTGGCCTTTTGCTACTCAACTCAGAGAAAGGGACAGTTCCTTTTCTTTATGACGTAAGGTACAGTCCTCACACTGACCCACTGATAAGAGCTGGGAAACTAAGTCACGAGTCAGCCCTGGTTAATACTTGGATGCGAGACTGCCAATGAATACCAAGTGATATGGCTATCTTTCAGACGAAGGAACTCGTAAGAAATGCCTCTAGAACATGGCTCTATAGCCCGAAAAAACCCACAAGAACCTAGTAACTCGTAAGAACGCTTATGGAATTGATGGGGTTGCCATAAGTTGACAGGATACTTGAAGATTCATAAATATGCAGAGAGAGAGGCAAAATTGAGCTCATACAGTAGGTCCAATCTGGAGAAAGGCCTCACCTGCTTTAGTCAAACCAATAGTCTGCAGAGATAATAGTAGGGCTGAAATTATGCAATAGTATTTTCACAATTTGGTGTGCCAGAGGGTATTAAGCCTTCTAGAACAGGAGTTCAAGGTGAGATAGTATAGATTTTATTAACCTTCATCACACACATATACAAACACACACATATACACTTCATAATTGAGATTTAGTTTTGAGATGCAGTGCTAAACTGAGTCTTGAACAAGATGCTACTTTCCTCCCAAACAGCACTTGTTTTGATATCCTGCCCTTTCCGTTTAATGCCTGGGGAAACTACAACCCAGGAGTCAGCATGCTGAGTGCTGACTTGTCCTCTCCTCTCCAATAGGCAATAATATAGTGGAGCAAAGAGGATCAGGATGAGTTGGCTGCCTCAAGATAGAAGATCTCAGATGACAGGGAATTGCACTGACATCTTTGATGACACAGCTATACATATCTGCTGCCTTTAAGTGTTGGATGACAGAGCAAAATAACTCTGCAACACTTAGTTGTAATACATGATAGATCAACATTAAAATAAGATTTTTGTTCGTGGAAAGATTGGGTGGAGTTGGGAATCTGGGAATGCCATTTTGTCTTTTCTCTCAGGCAGCAAACTATCTTGGGCCGGTCTTGAGACCAGAGTGATCCAATCACCAATCTAGTAGCCTCATATCACATTTCCCTCAGTAGATATTACAGGGTGAAGAACTCTAACTATATGTATGCCAGGGATGTTTTCATCAGCAAATACACGTTTTAGATGTCTAGTCTAAGCCAGAGGCAGGAGACCACACACATTCCCTCACCAGG